CAATGCAATAAAGATAGGCGTTGCTTGATTGGCTCTGGCTTTGACAGTTCGTTTGGCACAAAACCAGCCAGTCCGCTCCTCTCTTATACTAGACCCTCTCTAGGTGGAACTACATGTATTGAATTCCATAAATGAATTATATAGATTAAGTAATCGTCTTTTAGTAATATCGGGAAGATTTTTTAGAAGATCAAATTTGATCATATCGCTTTCCGGAGCAGAGTTATTTGATGAAAGAAGTGGCATTGAAAATTCCAGCATTTTGAATGGTTCATCCAGAGAACCGTTACTTCGGGTTGTATCCCGTAAAGTTAGTTGTGCTGCATGGTACAGAGTCTGGACAATGAGCGGTTTCACATATAGTATTTTCGGTTTCTCATTCAAAGCGTTATCATCGAAGTTTCTCTAGAAAGTTCCTCGATAAAAGTACTCCAGTAATTTCGTTTCTTTGCTTTTAGTAAGTTTTTTTCAAGCTTTAGATACATTTCAAAATGCTCAGATCTTTCATGTCTACGATAATCTTTAAAGGCATCGGATTTCTCAAGATATAATTGTGTGCATTCATCATCCCATCCAGGGGTGGCGGGCCTTTTTTCGAAGGATGCATCTGGAACATATCGTTTATGAGCTTCTAATACGCTTTTGTAGATTAGTTCGGTAAGGAAAAGATACTCGTCCAATGGTAGTAGAGGATCGATAGAGTCAATACCAAGAGTTACCGCCGATGCAATTTTTTTCCAATCAATATTCCTCGTGAGGTCAAAAAGAACTTGAATTGACTGATCTGATTTTTCACTACCATAGGGATCATTGATTACAGACAATATTTGATTGTAATTTGATCTATTGTAGTATATCCCGTGTCCTTAGTATAGTGCATGTCGTATTACTTCATCACTATTGAAAAATGATGAAGTATTTGGTTTTGATACAATTTTCATTCTTGCCTTCATCGCAAGAAATCGATTCTAATTGAAAGGTTCCGCTATTTTTACCCTTCGGAGTGTTGGAACACCCTCCAAAGACGCGCCCCTTTGTCAGTCAAAATTGGATTCCATAGCAACAAAAATAAGCAATGACACACGCAAAAAAACCGTTCCGGTATTCGTGAACAACAAATCACGAAAGCATGAACTGCTAGTTCGTTTGAATCCGTGACTTAGTTCCTGTAAACGTGATCGAGTAAATAACATTTTCATGAAATAAATCGCAAATCCATGAATTTAAGTCACGCCTGTTCAGCGCGACCATCGATTTCATAACGCTACAGGAAACACAAAATAAAATCATGATTTCGTCTTCCATGAACCCATAAGTGTGATTTTCGTTCCTGAAATCGTGAACTTGGATCACACGCAATGCTGCAGCTGTCATTTTCAGTTGTTGTTGATTTTATCCTTATAGAGTGCTCGGATCCGTCGAGAATAGTGTCTCGATTATTATTGAGTGAGCTGAGCCGTATTATCAGAATGGTGGTCCGGCACAATGGCAGTGACTGGTACATGTCATCATACTGGCCGTCCTCGAAGAAAAAGAATCCCCGAACGCATCCGTTGGTCTTGCTCCCGCCGCTCCGATGGAAGTCGCAGGTGGTGTTGATTTTTTGAGCTGAAAACTCGGCTGAAAGTGTGTTCATTCCATCGGCTGGAAAGATACCTGCTGCCAGTTTGGGATGCGGGTAAAACCTGCATCAAGGCTTCCGTTGTTTTCATTCTACTTCTTCACTCCATTTTAAATATTGGTAGTTATAATGAAGTTGACATTTTACAGTCCATCAACCATGTTCCCGTTTTCGAGAACAAGGTTCACGGTATCAATCACAACGCATGAACATAAATCACGTTTGCCAGAACTTTCCGAACAGAGTTCACGATTCTATGACTTTTGTTGCCTTTGCAGGCGTTACGTTTATTTTGTGGAACAATGTTCACGATTTCATGATTTTGAATAGTGTACTTTCGTAAACGAAAAATTTACTTGTTCCGAAAATCGTGACTGGAGGTTGACGAATTTCGGAACGTATTTTTTCCCGTGCACCGATAATTACCATGTATCAGAACCCTAGTCTTAACCACTTCAAAGTAGGAAACAACGAACAGAAGATTAGGAAGGTCAAGCCGAGGGCATTCAAAATATTATCCACAATGTCCTTAAATCTAATCTTTCCCCGCTACCAGTTCGCTACTTTCCAAGCATCTGGAAGGTAGCAAAAATTATACCAATATTCAAGCAGGAGATGGGGCTGTTGGTAGACATTCCGAAGGCAGGAAGTGTACCAACGATGGGAAAAACGCTCGAAGATGCTTCGCTGAACCAGAATAAGCTTTCGAGATCAAGGGCATTGATCTTGATCTTGATCTTATCATCAGGTTTAAGGTAATTCTTGAAGTTTTGACATACACATACATTGGATACGCAATCGATGCAACGATATTTGATGTTTATGCACTCCAAACTGCTGGGTTGTACGTCATCCATGGCACCCAATAACATCAACTCTCCACAAACTGTTAATGCATGGAGCTATCATGATTGAGCACCCGATTTTACCAAAACGATTGCTCTCCGAGTAGGCAGCCGAGGCGAGAGATAAGCATTTCCGCTTGAACTTCTCGAGGAAATTTTCACGGAAGGCATGCAATCGTGATATTCTTAACAGGCTACTTTTGAACTAAGAGAAATGCAGGCAAAGAAGAAAAACATCTCATTCTCCCATGAAGCATTACATCTTCAGAAATGAAGGTATTTGACGGATGTAGATGCCAGTGAGAGTGAATCAGACACCGCTAATTTAGGGACATGCAGTGTTGATTTAATTGTCATAACCTCTAAACTGTTTTTTTATTTTAAATGTGAAAAAATGTAGTTAAAACAAATCTGTTAGGTATTTATTCAGATGTATCGAATTTATTAAAAGTGGTAAAAAGTGGTTGATGTATCGAAATTATTAAAATTAGGTTAACATTTCTTTGCTTATTTCAAGGGTTGAGATAACGAATTAGCATTATAACTGATACATAATTCAAAGAATGATAACCAGATGTGCACTTAGCTTTTCCGTTAAGCTTAATAAATTGATTATACAAATGTTAGGTAAATTCATTCATATATAAAGGGCACATTTATCATCCTCAATTGATTTGACAACATGTTTGTCCAGTTCACTCCACTGTGCGTTAAAGTGGATCGATCGGCACAAGCCTTTTTAGAAGTTGGTCGCTAATAAGAACCTCCACCAAATATAGTTCAAATCGGAAAAGGTCTATTTCACTTTTTTCATTTTCATAAAAAAGGCAATAATATCACTTCTAGGTGGATATAATCCAATTTTCAGCAATCATAAGTCAATATTATATGTAATTATGACAAAACAAACCAGTCTTAATTCAAAGATACATGCACATAATTTTGGCCAGCTTTTCGACCCAAATACTCCTCTGTGCGATGGGCTCGGAATTTTGCCCGGATTTCCTGAGCAGTGCTGGATGTGCTTCAGCGGAACCACGACAACGAGGTTGATTTAATTGAGAAGGACATCAACCCTTAAACAGTTGCGCCTAAATGTAGACATTGGCATTAAATATCAAAAGAAACTTCGTGGAAAACCATTGCCGTCTTGATATGGGATTCATTCTAGCGTAAATTATTAAATGATTCGTATTAATTGACGCATAGTTAATGATACTTGCATATGCTAAAAACAACAATCGTTGCTGCTCTATGATCGTTTGTTTGAATGTTGTTATTGTTTATGCTACTGAACGTCAGTTCAATAAACTTGAAATATATGCTATAGAATATACTTTTGTTATAGTATTGTGATGAAATGCTATTCATTATTATCTTGATAAGCCGGCGCCGGTGGTGTAGTGGTAAGCGTGACTGCTTTCTAACACCCCAATGGGTCTGGGTTCAATCCCAGCCGAGGTCGGTGGGATTTTTCTGAGGCATAAAAAATCTCTGGTCACGGCTTCCTTCGGAAGGGAAGTAAAGCCGTTGGTCCCGGCCCATGTGTGTGTTGAATTGAATGGGTGCGATATCCTACGCAGGTGTGGAAGCTGCCTTCCTGCACATTCGATTGTCGTCAATGGATGGCAATCGATGTCCGTCGGTGATTGGCACTAGATTGCGGAACAGAGACCGACGTTAAATAAAGGAAAGGATTATCTTGATATGTAGAAAATGTTATACTTGGCCATTAAATGTACTAGGCATAATGATAAATTTAACTCCGGCGATCACAATGTGCGCTCGATTTGTGTTCGGGCCATATAGGGTTAATGGCCCTATTGCTAGCCAAAGTGTTTCTAATATTGGGCCCATACATAAATTACGAATGTCAGTGTTCACTCGGCTGTCGACAAAAGCAGGCCACTCTCGATGTGTGCTACTCGATCGTCTGTTTTCTCGGCAGCAACCATTGTGTGGTCCTCCTCATTGTTCTTCATCAGCAGTTCTTTCGGTCGATGCGTCGTCGACTTTGGAAAGCAACCGTTTCGTGATGAGTGTGTGAGTGCTGACCACGTTTTGCGTCCATTGCTGCAATGGACGCGCTCTGACCCTCGTTGGCGTACAAAAATTTGCCATACAATGAAAAAACTGGAAGCGGCTCCAGTTCTGATGGAGGAGGCTTTTTGGATAGCGGAAGATAAAGTGTTTATTGTGTTGTACCTTTTGACTATAGTTTTAAGATGTATTATATAGTGACCAAGAATCCTCGGCTCTGTAAAGTTAATTCGGTTGAGCCTTATCAAATAAATTAATAAACAACAATAAATTACGAAGGAAAGCATTTCTTGACAAAATGTCCCTTAGTATTGCCGAGGATTGTTATAAGAAAAAATTAAGAACAGGAGAATTTTAAAGACCAATCTTTTATCATTAGAGTCATTTCCCCTGTAGAGCATTAACCTTCTATCCTGATGAGTATAATAATCTTTACTTATTGCTACTCCAGAACACAGTTTTATACTTCCGAATCTAAAATAAAACAAACGCACCTTTCCAAGGAACATCCTAGATAATCCGCTTCTGCAGCGGCCGCAGCTGCCGCCGCAGCATTTTGGTCCACCAGGTTGAGAATATCTTTCACCGAAAACGGAGTATTGTTGTTCGATTCACTTCCCGACGACACTTCCGAATGTGCCTGCACGACATCGTAATATCCCTGTTGTAACATTTCCCCTCCACTTCCGGAATCGGTTCTAATCCTTTTTCTTCGACACAAATTGCACTGCCGTCAATCCGATTCAAGTAGGCACAGAATTTTCGTTTTGGAATTCCACTCGTGATTGATCACTTCATTGCCTCCTTCGACTGATTTCGCACTTGCTGCTCTCACATTCATGAGATCAAGTGTCACTTTGGCACCCCTTCGCCGAATCCAGGGAGTAAAGCACTATGATTACACTTTCTCTTTTGTCAAGTACCCACTTGGAACAGTTCCCGGTATCACTTCCCCAAAGAAAGAGATTTTCAATTTAAAAAAAAAAACAATCTTCAACCGTTTCAACGTCCAATCACCGAAAGCTCAACCGAATGACTGAGCCGTATGCAAGGGAATCCTCCCGCGAAAATCTCTCTCGCTTGGATCTAGGGAAATCAGCATCTGTGGAGGGCTGGTCCAGAGCGAAAGAGACCCACCGACATCCCGGCAATTTGTCGCTATCTTCCAACAAGCAACCACTTGAATATCGACCAGTGGAAAATTGAGCAATTTCTATTTTTTCCTCCCTTTCTTACTGTCATCCGTCGATTCCTTCTTTGGACAAGTGCACACACCCGCGTGGTTGAATATTGGCTTCTGGTGGCGCCCTGAAACAAATCCCATATGCGCTGGGAAAACCACTTGAAATTGAGAACGGATCCGGCGGATCAGCAGGCAGCCGGTTCGGGGTTACCAAATTCTAACAATCGAGAAAGTTATAACGATTCAGTCATGGTCACCCTGGCCAGAGAATCATAAAGCAATAGCAAACTCCCCGACATAAAAGCATCATAATGGAAGCTAATAAAACGATTTCATCGGCATTTGTGTGCAGCAGTTTTTTTTTTGCGGCTCCATGATGTTTGATTTTGTTGACAGGCGACAGTTCGACACCACTCGGTGGTTGGTCGTGTGCTGCTGACTGACTGCCGGAGTTATCGGATGACAGACAACCGAAAAGTAAACAAATTTGAAACTGATATTCCGATCAGCTGTATGTTAGGCGAGTGCGATGAACATGTGCGTTTGAAGGAAACTATAGATTACGGGATGTTTTACAATAGGTGGGAATGTACATATTTTTCCAAATCAAAATCTTGCAAAAATTAAATATAAATGCTTTTCCGTAGATTATCGAAACCACTCATTCAATCGCAGGAGGTTTGTTCGAAGATGTTTTTCATTTTGTAGAAAACACTTTCGCCAAGTGTAACCAATGAAAATGATATTAAAGTGCACAAAGTATGGCACAAGTGTAAACAATGAGCAGTGTTCTTAATAGTTAAAAATATTTCAATCTTACCTTTAGTACCATAACAGGGAAAAAATCATATTCCTTTGCGGTTATTGATAAATGAAAACAAACCCATGTGCTCAAGTCGCATGATTTGCCACACTTCATGACAACACAATTGGACTATTTTGCTTCCCGTGGATTTCCCTACACCAAATATATTAGTTACGGTACGGTATTCCACTGCAGAACTCAGCGCATATACAGCACGCGGAATACATTGACGCAACGCCGTATCCTGCTTTCCCAAACCGTGTAGTTTTTAACAGAGAAGCTTAAAACAATTTCTGGACATTCTGAAATTGTCTCCATTTTGCTGAGCATCTTCTTCAAAGAAATGACCGTTTCTATTCTGCATATTAAACAACATGTGTAGAGTGACTCAAAATAAAGATTTCAAATCAAGTCCTGGTAATTCTCTCAAAATTTGAGCTCATTTGGATGCGAACTCATACTTCACTAACGCTTTAAAGTCTGGGAATAGTGATTTTTTTTTAATCTCATCGTTCTAGCCCTTTACTGTAATGATCTGCGGAAAAGTTTGCTATATGAACTCATGAGAAATTGCATTAGCTACTTTGCTGTAGACCGCATTTAGATTGAACGTCAGGAAAATTAGCTATTAATTAAATAGGAATCTTCTGACATGGTCCACAAACTACTCAGCAGGCAACATTGGTATGCTTGGTTCGAAGACCAAAAAATTCTTGCTACTATATCATAACACAGTGAAACACATAAAATGTATACAAAATTTGAACTTCAATTTCTGCCAGTACCCACCCAAATTAGTAAAACCCTATTTGGGTTTTGAGAATTTAGTTCGAAAGTTTGATTTATGCCATCATCAATATTTTTACTCGCGCTTTGGTTTTGCACGGCTATATCTCGTAAACTATGTGGTATATCTCAATGCAATTTTCTGACGAAATATTCTTCACATCGAAATACAATACTTTTGTGAACATGCCAAGGCCAGTATTTTATTTTTTCGAGGTGTTTTCAGTGCAGAAGGCTAAAAAAAACATTTTTTCTCACGTTTTTGGCCATACATAACAAATTATGTATATTTAAGCATGCTTATCTTACATAAACACGAGTAACTATGCTGAACACTGCAATAACCTACGATCGAATTTATTTGTTTTGGTCGTTGTAAGGAATTTTGTCACAATTTCAACATACCTATAAAAGCAAAAAAAAAATGTGGTTTTATTCAAAGTTGCTCGAGATGGTTTTGATCTTTTCGAAGGTCGTTGTAATTTATCATCATCATCTCTGTCATCACCACTGAATAAGACATTCAAGGACATATAACTTTCTGTGTGTCTTTCGACCTCCTCTTCAATGCCTTCATTTTCATTACAGATTTTATTGCATCCCAGGCACGCCTTCCGTCTCGAATGAACTAAATTCTCCTCTTGTAGGGGAACAGTTTAAAGAGACGTTAATAGACGTATCCAGCCACGCCGGTAATTTGTGTGTCAGCACGTTTGTGAACTTTTCACTTTTCATTAATTTTCGAATATCTGGTCCAGTGAGTACACCTGTTCAATGTGGAAAACAATAAAAAACAAATTATAGCTATGTGAAAAGTGAAGAAACATAGATATGAAAATATGTAATTGAACGACATACCGTTTTTAATTTTGTCAACGCTGAGTTTTTCAAAGATGTCCTGTAAACAGTCATAAACTCCTTCAGCATCGTGAACGGCCACTTGGATGAATTTCGAAGCAATTCCCAATTTTATATGGAGCGGTGGCAGCAGTATGCGATCGATATTCTGTATTAAAGGTTTATTAAACAAATTTAATCTTATTTTCGTTTTCGGTAGTTATTTTTATCTAATAATCCAAAGAAAGCAAAAGAATTTCGGCAAACCACCCTTTGCAATCACACTTTGCGATATGTTCACAACTTTCAGGTCACAGCAAATCTTCCATTTATGTTCATCATATTTGATTTCTTTCAAATTCAAATTTCATTCGATTCTTTCCTATTTGTACCAAATGCTAACGGAATGAAGGGTTGTTTGTTTGTTTTGTGCAACAAAACAGCCTTCAAACTAGAAACTGAACCGTCAATGAATAATCGCCAATCGCCAGCAATGTACTCCATTTCAAATTTATTCACTAAACCTTTGATATCGTTACAGTTAGTGAACGTATTTTCGTCGTTTATAGTATATAATTTCTGATATTCAGTTTGGCGTTTCCGGTATGCCGCGGCACTAACATCTTGCTTTGTGAATTTTCTGCGCTTCAAGAATAAAGTCAACATTTCTGATTTTCGTTGCGATAACGTCAACTTAGCCACAATGCAATCCATTTCGTTTTGTGTTAACGGTTTTGGTAGGTTATCTACATCGTCGGGCATCCAATCGGGATCTTGTGCAACAGTAAAAACACTTCGGGCTGTCAGTACAGACAGTACATAAACTTGGAGCTATGGGAGGCTCGAAACCAGCAGAAAGTGGCACTGGAAGTGAAGCAGTAAAAGCGGCAACATATTGTTTTGTCTTCGACTTTTTCTTGTTGAATGTAGGATCAACATTAATGCATGCGTAGCACCTGGATGCAACATGTCCGTTTGGATCTTTCATCCAGATCACTGGCTTAATAGATTTCAATTTTGTTCGTCGATTGTGCCACCAATGCAAAAGATTGCAATAGTAAGCCATGCATATTACATTTGACGTGAAATCTTCTCCACTTAAATCCACTTCATCAAAATATCGCGTATATGCGTAACTTAAACTCCACAGATAGCAAATTACTTCGTTGTTTACCTTCACATTTTGGCACCATATTCCCACAAACATGGTAAAATACATTTATTCTGGGACACTTTATATTTTCCATGTTGGTTAAGTTTATTGGTGAGAATGTTTGACATTTGAATCGATTCGGAATATACCAATACATAAATACCGAGTAATGCCCAAGCATGGGAGAAATCTCACACTCACTCGCATACAATATCAGAACCAAGTAGTAGCTTGTCGAGCTTGTCAATCTATCCAGCAGGCCACTTTTCACAAAAGTTGATAAAATTTTGTTTTTCGTAGTGTACCAACTGTGTACCATAGCGTACCTTCAAGGATTTTGTTTATTTGTTTATTTGTTTATTTGTTCTTCGTCTTCGACAGTGTCGTACAGACTAGTTTAACTTATGCTATGTTTTTAATCCTATTTTTAAAACAATTTTTGGACACATTAAAATCAAACAAATCACTAACATTGTTGAAAGCTCTGAGGCAAGAACTGAGCGGGTTGTTATGACCATAACATGTTCTAAAGAGTGTCCACGATGAAATTGCCACACTATGAAATTGCTCTAACTTTTTAACCGTTGGGTAGAATTTAATGAAAATTTGGGTGGATTTAGTTCACAGTGCATTATTTACATCCTGCAAGTTTTAAAGTCCTGTGATAAAAACTCGCGGAAATGGAGTCGAAAGAACAGCTCGTGCGTGATAAAATCTTGCGCATTCATCACGAGAACAAGGATCTCTCGCATCGTTCCATCGGTAAAACGTTGGGAATCGCGAATTCCACGGTGTCGCGAGTGATTAAGCGGTTCGAGGAACGGTTGACCACCGATCGGAAGCCCAGAAGTGAAGGAAAAAGTATTCCGTACAACACCAAAAATCACAACCGCGTAGTTGGGGCCTTCAACCGAAATCTGAACGCCTCCGTTAGGGATGTGGCTAAGAAGCTGCACCTAAGCCGAAGTTTTGTCCAGAAGGCCAAAACTAAGGCTGGGTTTCGAACGTTCAAGGTACAAAAGGCCCCTAATCGCGACGAGAAGCAGAACAAGTCCGCCAAAACCCGTGCCAGGAAGTTGTACCTCA